AATCAAATCAAAATGATAAAAAAAACAATAAAATTAACTAGAAGTATTTGATACCTTACTAATCAAATCTACCGTTGCTTTTATAATACGTTGTCTAGTGTTGTTAAAATTGGTAGCGCATATGTGGACACAAAAACTTAACGTCGCTGTAATCGTTTGCACCCGACTGAATAAAAAGTTTTCAGCAATTGAAATACCAACCATTAATAGATTTTTACTGTTGAAAACATGCTCCTAGGATGGTGCATTTATAATGGTGTTATTTTGGTGTTATGGGATATTTCGTTTCTTTTAGGGAATCGTTCAAAGGCGTCATTTGGGGGGGGGGCAGACTATGGTAAATGCCTCACTCTAAGAAATTTTAAAAAGTTGGCAATTCTTTGTCCGATGATCAAATGCTAAAATCAGTAAATAATAAATTTTATTTATTATTTAGTACCTACTCAGAAATCAGATAATATTCTCTTTTAAATACACGTTCACGATTTATTAAAAGTTGAGAAACACTGGTTTCTCCACGGTTTATGACAATCGTTATTACGCGAAGCTCATAAACTTTATTTTTGGTTTATTACATGTTTTTAAATATGTGATCTTTATAAAACAGTTTTCGTGATATCAATACCATAAAAATTGAGCTCATAATCTATAAAAAACCGTTAAAATCGTTCCTATTCACCCCTACAACGATACATTATATTTGAGATAAAATTTTATGTTTTTATAAATAAGTTCTGTAAAATATTAAATATACAAATAATAAAATTATAAGTATTTATTTAATTAGTTTTATATTATTATTCCATTAAACCTACTGATAGGTAACTTATAGCCTGAAGGATAAATAAATGTTTTACTATTTTTAATGTTATTATATTGTTAATTGGGTAAATTGAAAAGTTTCATGTTCTTTGTTTATCATCGTGACATCATTATTCATTACTAGGGAACGGATTTTTATGTAAATACATATTTTTATTAAAACGAGATATTAAATATCCGATAATAAATGTACATGATTTAAATCATTCCTATTAATATGATGATACTTTAATTTTACATATTTTTACATATTTTGGTATAATTACATATTTTTATATATTTCACTAATTTGTAAATATTTTTAAACATGTTTTATCATTTCATCATTCATACGTCTTCTTCATACAAAAGTACAAGAAATTATTTCAAATTTAAATCTAGGAACTTCTATCGCTATTAGAAAAGCTCAAAATACTATGCAAAATAAAACATTGAAAACTAATTTAATTTTCATCTCAGTGAATTTTAGTTTTATTGCACATACGTTTACAAAATTAGAAACAAAAATATGTCCTTAAATAAAAGTATGCAAATTGTTGAATCAATGATTGCAAAATGAAAACTTGTAAGCGGACCAATAGGAGATGTAAAAAAGAAAATTCATGCTGTTACAGAAAAAAATTCCAGGCTATATTGATTTTAAATCAATCAATGACATAATGAGTGGAAGATACCCTTCAAAAAATTTGAAATTATCGCCTTCTGATATTATGGGCTTCAAATATCCTTTAATCAACCGATGTAGGTTAATGTAGAACGATCATTTAGCCGTTTTAAAAATATTTTCAGATATAATAGGCCACATTTAATATTTGATAATTTAAAAGATATTGTAATAATTCAATGCAACAAATCATTTTGATAATTTAATAATTATATTTATTTTTTTTTTATTACATTTTTTTCCTACATATTGGGGTGTTTTTAGTACATATTTTATAAATTGTACTTACATATATATGCATGTATATATTATATATTATAATTTCTGTATTTTTATTACATATAAATCCGTTCAAATATTCATTATTAATCCTTACATGTTTTGCTCCAAAAAAATATTTTATTGATAGTCTGTGGTCCATAAATATAAAATATTTAAGTATATAGGTAACCATAGTTTTTTAAATATTATGAAGTCGGCGAATTTAATCAGTTTCCCCACCCTTTCAAAAGTTGAAATAACGCCCCTGGAATCGTTCCTTTCGTTCCCGGTTCACAAATGGAACGATTCGAAATGATTCATTCCTTCCGGTCACTTATTCATACCATTACCACTGCCGATTCAGCGATGCACCGTTGCAGTTTTGCACAAAGTGTAACGATATTTACGCGATCGACATTGTCGCTCCGATTTTATGCCGACATTAGCAATTGCCGTTGGGTGCAAAATGTAAAACTGAAGGTACTTGTAGATTTTTCAAATGAGTCGGTTGTTAGCCTATAACAGTAATTAACACTAAAATATCTTTATTCCCAAATACGCGCATTGCACACCGATGACGGCACAGATATAAAAGTGTTTGTTGTCAGTATAATTTACATGAACTAATAGAGAGTATGGAGAATAATCGGTCACCATTAGATACAAGATAGGTACTTTTACCGACTACTAAATATCTATTGACTAGTACTTACTAGTTATTAGGTATTATCATTATACTTACCTATGTATAATCCACGTATAAATTAACAATAAATATTAGCATAACCATATTTTTCTAGATTTATTTTATTTTATAATTTTATATAAATTAAACAATATGTCCCAGTGGTATGTTCAGCTTTTTCCTATTGTTGGGGGGGGGGATGAACTGTATTTTGTTTTTTCGATATAAGTCATAGGCTTAAATTTAGAAAATGTTCTGGTTGGTAAATATCATTGATACATTGATATTGGTTAAAACCTAACTATAGAGACACAATACTTCAATAGCACAGATAAAACTGAATGCAAAATTCGAATTTTGAAACGCACGAGTACGCTTTAAACTGTAATCTACAGCAGTGTTTCCCAACTTCTTTTACCCGCGGAACCTTAGCAGGAGATTGAACGTTTTGTAGAACCCCAATATTTTTTCTATAATATTAATACAGACATGTTTTGTATACTTAAATGAATGGGTTACCGGACACTTCCGGCACAAGAATGTCATTAATATAAAAAAAACAAGACAGCTTTAACATTTTATTTTGTTTATTACTATTACAATATTATAAATGTACTCGTACAAAGCTTAAAATTTAATATTTATCTCTCATCATCTCTAAGACAGATTCAATGAGAAGATTGGAATCTTTTCATAACTGTTTTTAAATTTGGAGTTATTCCTGAAAGTTGGATTCGTAAGTCCGGAGCCGCGTTCAGTTGATTTTGAAACTTATCCTTAGTCTTTGTATACGCCGAAAAGCTACAAACTACGCACCACACATCGGGAAATGTGTCAATTCCAGTTCTATATTGAGTTCTATGTTCAAAATATTGCTAATTAATTTATATTTTCCCAAATTTCTCACGGAACCCTTCGCTCAAGCTCACGGAACCCTTAGGTTCCCCGGAACACCAGTTGGGAAACACTGGTCTAAAGTGTACATTCTACATTTATATTATTACCAATGGTTTTTCGTTTGGCAATTCGGTAATTCGGTTAGGAAACGTGTTATACACAAAGTGGACAAGGTATTATGTATATAATGCGTGTTATATATCAATAATAGCAATGAATTGTACGGGCATGATGTTAGCGAATGCCGAGGGTCGTGTTTACAACATAGATATCTATGGTTTAAAAATAACTTTTAGTTGCATTCATGATTGTAGACCGTGTTCCACATCTACTGGTTCTATTTACAAACCGTGCTGTAAACATAATCATATTATGTATGATAATATTTAACAAAGTTGAACAATTAAAACTAACTACCTAAACCAGTGCATTTTTTTTACTAGTTAACTAGGCGACACAAATGTCGCCCAGTGATTATACTCTGTCGACAGTATTTTAAAAGATTGGGCGAAATAATGCGAAACAAACGTGTAATACTATAATCGTTCTATGGTATTGTACATTGATTATTTTGAGAAAAACATTTTTTGTCGCCCAGTGAAAATTCCTTATAAAATGCACTGACCTACACACTCATTTTTTTCTGAGCAAACCGAAACTACCGAAGAACTACAACTACAAGTTCATCGGAGAGGGGGTATGAAACCCTCATCCCATGAGCATTTCTCCGATAAGTATATACTTATATATAGGTATATATAGGTATATATATATACCTATATATATATATATATATATATAGGTACCGAAGGCAATTGATCGGACACGTAAGGGTAGCGCGTAATCGGTGCGCGATACGAATGTGGTACAATTTGGTTTTGGACCTGTTGCGCCTAAAATTGACGCGTAGGTGGAATCGTTCCCCTCCGCACTAGTTCCAAAGGAACGAATACCGGACGTCCTATCACTAGTACTTTTGGCACATTTGCCCTATAAACATAGAACCGAAATGGAACGAAGGGACGCGTTGGAACGTTCAGATGGAACCGTTTGTTAAAGTTCCTTTACTGCAGCGTTTCCCAACATTGGGCCATAAACAATTTTTGATGGGTCGCTGTTTTAAGCTGAAGGCAAGAAAAATATCTTAGGTATCAAAATATAATTATGTACCTATATGAGAATTCAGTTATCCAGTTTAACGATAAAATAAAATATTTTTAATAATAAAATGATTAGTGACGTTATTAGCACAATAGGTTTTTATTTTTTTTGTGGAGGGTCGTCTATCCAATACAAAGGACATTTATGGGTCGCCTTTGTACAAAGGTCAGGAAACGCTGTTCAACCGGACTCATTTCATTTGAATCGCGAGTCGTTCAAGAACGATCCACCTGTTGTAAAATCAATGACGTAGCATTTTATATTAAATTATTTTCGCATAGCATAATATCTTATAACAATAATAATAATATTTATAGAATTTATTATCAATGGTATAATATACTGTAATGGATGTATGGATAATGGTGTAATGTACCAACGTGGTTTCTCAGAGTAGTAGAAGGGGAAGGGAAACAGTTCGTAACGAAAAGTCAACCGTCGCTCGTTCGTCGATAATCACGGTGGCGCCTTCACGACGTTATCATTGTCATTTCGTAGCGTGTTCGCGCGTGTGATAAGAATCGCATGCGGTCTGTTCGCGGCGGGCGTTTGATGCCGTCGCGTCGCGCACCCGTGAGAAACATAACGTTATTACTTTTTTGTTGCATCTCTCAGCCGACGACCGTCGTCGATACGATCGAGAAAATAATAATATAACCTTACACGCGCCGATCGTTTTTCCGCATCCGTCCGCGTTTGGCCGCCGGCCATCTCGTCGCGAGATCCGAGTTTTTGTGTTTTTTTTTTTTTTTTATTCCCTTCCGTTCCGTTTGGCTTTGGTTTTTCTCTCGCCGCCACCAAGGTCCCGTCGCGGAGAACAAGACGGAGCGCAACTGCCGCGATGCCGCCACCGTATTATTATTAGTCGTTAAGTAATAATATTGTTCGGATTCTGGCCAGGAGCCCGCATAGCTGCTGCTGCCGCGCGGCGGTAAACTTCGAAAGCGCTAAATATAGAAGTTAGCCGGTCGACGGCGGACGGTGCAGGCCAACCGGACCGAAGGGATCACGCGTTGGAAATTCAATACAACATTACATCACCGTCTCGCGCGCCGCGTCAATCGTGTCCGGCAGTGCACATTCGCGATCGCCAATCGTTCATCCGGTACTCTTTTTCCGTGCGGTCCATAGTTTTCGGTTGTTAACCGTTTGGTCCCGTCCGGTATCCGCGGTCTCGCTGTAGTTCTCCCGCCGTCATTTCGTACGTTCCTCGAAAATGAACGCGGAACTCCAAGAGTCGGTCACGAAATGCATTGGCATATTAAAGAGCGCGAAGGCCGATACAGAGAAGTTTGCTGGTCTCTTCATGGTCGCTAGGCTCTTGAAAAAAGATAACTGCGACGATCGTTCAAAACTGCAATTGTTCGAAGCCATCGAGTTCAAATTCTTCAAACGTTTGTTGAAAAACACTGATGTTTCTACTGGTTGTCCGCCGATTGTCTACAAGTCGGTGGCCATGAACGTACTGTCTGTGTTGTGCAGTGCTCAGGAAGTCGCCACGCACAAAGATATATTGCAGAATATCGATGTGTTGCTTGATATTGTGCACGACTATGAAGATGAAGATGAAGAAGATGAAGATAACCTTATGCTAGTCAACGAAGCCTACAAGTGTTTAAATTACATTAGATTGTATGAACAGGGCTTAAAAGCATTATTCGACGGTAACGCTGTAGGAAAAATGACTAAGGTATATGCAGTAAAAAGTTTTCAAACAGATGAAGCACTCTCATTGGTCATGACCATTGTTGAGAAATTCGGTCCTCCTTCATGGGAAAATAATACTGAACTATTTGATTCATTAATGAATATATTGGGAGTAGACTTTGAAACTGACCATAGTGATAGAAAATTCAAATTATGCTCTATTCTTTCTACTTTACTGGCTAATTGTCCAGTAGAAGTCGCACAGAATGGTTGTGATAAATATATGTGGCCTGAAAAATTATTTGTGGGATTGAGAGATATATTGACGAGCAAACTAGTTAAAGCACAGCGAGATCCAGCAATTATTTTGGCTGCACATATGCTTACTACGTTTGGTGCTGAATGGTCATTACAAGATGCAGAAAAACCAAAAGCATTCTTCTTACTGTTAATACATTTGGTTTCCATTGAAATACGTATGCATTTGGAAGATAAAAAAATTGAACAGGTATTATTTTATTATAATTTTGTTTACCATTTAAATTATTATACATTATTCATATTTACATTTTAGTTTTATAATTATTCATATGGTTTTCTAAGGTGTATAATATGCTTGTAACTTATTGAGCTATTCCATTAACATTTTAACTATTAAATATACTTATGTACAGTTAATCAATTATGAATTATTTTTAAATGTAGTTTTAGTCTATAATAATTACTTAATTGAAATATATATTTATTGACAGATATTTTCATTAATTAATAATCTATAAACCAATCATAAGAATTTATTTTGTCTAAACAAAATTGAATGTAAAAAATAAAAAAAATGGCAAATACCAAATGACCTTTTAGAATGGAAGAGGAAAGCTACTACCAAACTATAGGTAGGAAAAAAAATGTTCTCATTCTTTGATTGGAAATATATTATTAAATATTTATTTTTTATTAAATACATATTTTTAAAATTTTCATTTAGTTAAATTATAGTATAAATTATTGTATTTATATTACATACTACTACCTAATTATAAAATTAATATTTACAATTTGCATATTGATAATTAAATGTTATTTTATGAAAGTACTCTAAACAATAAACTAAAATAACTATAGGTAAGTATTTAGATTATACTCAATATAAATAGTAATTTAACTTAACAATTTTATATCAGTTTTTGCTACTATTGTTAGGGCTGCTCAACTCTGCCATAATCACTAATTGATATTTTATCCTCATTATTCAGTACCTACATAGTAAAATAATTCAAATAGATTTTATTCATTTTAATTAGTGGGTAGTCTTACATTTTAAAATTGATTATAATTATGTGACAAATATTTGCATAAAAATTAATAATATTATTTTATAATCACAATAATTTTTAATACAACTAATATAATTAATAAATCATCTTATGTATGTAGTGTTTTACACTCAGTCAAGTTATTATTGTCATATATAATACTTTATCTAAACAAATTTTTTTTCCTAACATCTTTATGAATTAAATGAAAAGTATTCTTAGGTAAACACTTTAACTGTATAATTTAATCATTTATTTTATTTTCAGATATTGCTTGCTGAAAATTTACTGAATTCGTGTTTTATAATTCTTGAAGTATCAATTGCATACATATCTGCGGACACTTTGGATTTAGAACAAAAAGAAAAACAACAAACATATACTGCGCTTAAAGGAGCTTTTTCTGCTGTATTAAATATGTTAGAATTATTATCAGTAACTAAGAAACCATTAGAAGTCAATGAAAAATATTTTATTTGTGTGATGCTAATGCCATTGACTACATGGTTAGCTCAAGAAACGTCTGCAATGAAACCAGCTGTGAATAAAATTTTGCCTTTTGCTTTAAAAATAGCAAATGAATCATTTTATGCTTATCGTGAACGATACATTTCTGAAAATAACAAATCATCTGAAGTCATTACGGTAAAAGATAATCCTTTAAGTTCAGTAGATGTATTACGAGCATTTTTACCTGCTTTGTGTCATATTGCAGTCGATGATAATGGTCGAGCTATATTGTTAAAAATTAAACAAGAACAGGTATTGCTAGAATGTTTGGAGTTCCATTGGTCAATTGCACATTTTAAAAAACCATTAATACCAAAGTCTGAAAGAAGTAAACCTAGAGGGCCGGATCCTGAAATTCCAGCTGATCGTCTAAAGAAAATGGTTGATTCTAGAGGAGCTATTATTAGTATATGTAATACATTCATGAATTTATGCGTGTTAGAAGCAGATTTTGTAAAAGATAGTCCATTGTTTTTCACTCTTATGAAGTTTGTGTTTGACAATTTACCAGAATTGAAAAACAATCATGATAACCTGGTTGTATATGGTAACATGGCTGTTTTAGGTTTGATGTTACTAAAATTGAAGACTGCTTACATTAAAAAGAATGACTTCTCTATCTGCCGTTACATACAATCAACCATAAGATTTTTATGGGACGCTTATACTGCTGAAGAAAACAGCAACAGTTCACGGTATGCTTTGGGTCAGTTAGTTGTAGCAATGACTTATAAAGAATCATGGATCGAGTTGCAAGAATTGTGGTTCTTGGGGATGCAAAATCTGAGTGGCATTTTAACCCTTGTTCCGTGGATATCAGAGTTTGCAATTGAAAGTGGTTGGGCAGAAGGAATTATTGACATGTTGGTAAAGATTAGACCAGGTTCACTTCCTACTAATGTTAAGTATGCTTATGAAGACTTATTATGTCGTCTTATTGATGCTAATAGTGATTTAGTGGCTACACTCAAGAAAAAAGATGCCATCACAGCTTGCCGAGGTCATAAATTCATGGAATTGGGTAAAAAATTGTTTGGAGAGTAATTATATCCTAATTTGTATTTTATTTTTCATAGCATTTATATTTTTAAACATTTGTTTTTTATTGTGTATGAAAACATAATTATTTATTGTTGTTTACCAATAAAAGTTATACTATATTAAGAACTAATATTTTAAATAAGAATAAATATTTGGAAAATAGTTTTTCATTTTATTAGAGTATTAAAATAGTTATTTTTTATTTTATGTTTGTTGAATTTTAATGTGACATTAAATTACCTTGTTTTTACTTCACATGCATTGTATTTAATTTACTATTATATATTAAGTTTGATCTAAATACAATTTTTACACGGAATAACAAAAACAGTACTATTTATAGTGTCTGAAAATCTTTAGTTATACTTATTTAATAACATAAATTTTTTTTATTTATTTATTTTTTATAAATATACCTAATTTTTAATAATTTATTTTATTATTTAAATTCAATACAATAATTGTGATTCTTAATAATTTTATATTTACTAACTATTTAAACTTTTTTAATGCAATATAATTGTATAACTGTTTTTTATGATTAACTAATCTTAAACATAATTTTAAACAAAGACAAATAGTCCACCACTATGATTTTTATTAATCTATATGTTTATAAAATCATAATTTAATACTTTTAATCTACGTTTTCAATCAAAAATATTGTAATTCTTTTAAGTTAATATCTAGTTTGGTTAGGCTCTTGTATTGTTAGTTATTAATCATTAAATGTAGTGTAATTCACTTTTCAATAGTAAAAATTTACTATTATAATAGCTACTTTTCAAAATATTATATTTTTATAACTGGATTTTCAATTAACCTGACAGCATATTGAAATTTCAATTTTTTAAAATATGTATATTTTAATTAGTAACAAAATGTTGTTACAGTATCTAGTAATTTAAATTTAATTTTCAAAACTAGTTCTCGAGCATATTACTCTGCTAGGAATAATAATAAAATTTCTACTACTGATTCATATATACCAAACAAACAATAAAAAATTAAATAAATCTGATGAAGAATTTAAAATCTTTCATAGTGATTATTATATAAATTTATTCTGTCCAAAACTAGTGAAAGTTATTTTCTTCTATATGTTGTTTTTATTATTTATTAATTTTTTTCAATTAACTAAATATCAATTATTATCATTCATTGAATTAATTAATTAATTTAGTAATTAAATATTTTTTACAATAGTTTATATTAACATAGCAGGGATGGACCAAACAATTATTTAGACCAGCCCTCTATATTATAATATTTAATATTTCATATAAAAACAAATATTACTGTTGATTTTTTTAAGGAATGTTTAATGGATGGTTCGATCACCTTATTAAATTTAAAAAATTATAATTTTATTTACTGATTTTTCTATTTATTAAAACAAAATCTGTGCATAAATAATATTACAAAACAATTTATTAAGAGTTCTTTATTAACTTATCAATGACTTATTCTGTGTAAGTATAATTTAAAATATTTTTCTAAACTATCATTAGCAAAAAATCTAAATATAAATAGGATAATGTGCTTCTCTATATTGTCTTCAAAAATTTAAGTATAGATAAAAAATCTCTTCAAGCAACCTATAAAAATAAAATTGATAATCTTATAATATTTATACTTAAATCTTAAGGGAAAATTATCTCACTTCTGTCTTTGTCTAAAAAAAATGTGTAAGTCAATGTTTCATAAGCATTACTATAATGATCATATTTCATAAGCTATTTAAATAACAGGTAGCACAATTTGTACAGGTCTATAGTGATCATATATTATCATCAACGTGATTCAAAGTATAAGTCTTCAAAATATTTATTTTAATGACTCCTAATTTACTTACAATTTACCAGTTTTTTTTTTTTTTCATTAAAATTCATCATTAGGTAAGTCAATAAAATTACCATTGAATATGAAAAATATATGAAGGAATATAAATTCCTTTTCATAACAATTTTCTTGGCTATTTTGTGTTTTAAAAATAAAAACGTTAGACAAAAACTAAAGACATTAAAAATACATTTGGAATTCTTTATTTGAATTAACTTCAACACCGTAGGTAGATAGTTATTTTCATATTGATCACTTGCACAATGTCTTTTTAAAATAAGCCATTTGGAAACAAAGTAATAAAACTCATGACAGAGCCGTTCGTGAGAAAAATCTGGCATAAATGGTAAAATCTTTGTATGTATATATGTACGTATATCATTGTAAAAACATTGAATACTAATACTGTATTATTATTATTATTATTATTATTATAGTGGGCATTGTTGTTAGGTAGTGTGATTTGCTCTCACAATTACTAACACTTATTCAAGGGGCACGTAAAAAGTTCAAATATATAAATATAAAAATGTATAAATTAAACTATATATTTTGCATTTGTATAATTAATATGATGTTGTTGAAGTTAACCGGGAAAATCCCGATTTTCCGATAAGCCTATCCACTACTGAACTCATACCGTAGTTGGATACACGTGTAGTTTTTGTAATTTTCGTAGATTTTACTACTAAATTGAATAAGCAATGATAACAATTTGAAAAAAAAAAATCAAATCCAATCGTGCGTCATATTACTCGAATCTCAAAAATAAATCTTTAGAGTGCAACTTATCGGTAAAGCACGACGAGATACTCCGTATATCATAAATTGTAGGTATATTAACGGTATAAAGTATACATAAAGAGTAATAACAAAAGTAGTTACATCATAGGATCTTATGATGTAACTATTTTTATTATTCAATGTTATATAATTTTTGTTTAGATCTACGCGATATACTATTTACACGTATACATTTGCAACTTACAGAACTCTAGAAACAAAACAAACATTTTAAATTCTGAACAATTATTTATTTCATAATAGTATATTTGTTGGTAAAGCTTATTAATTTTTTACTATTTATAGCGTTAACAAGTCGGTCATTTAATGTCAATAAATGTTACACAGCACTACATACAAATTAGGTGTATGATATAACACAAAAAAGTTTCTTGGAACATGAAGATTCTAACACCATAAATAGCATTTTCGTTCATCTGGCAATTATAAAAATCTCGCATTGGCGAGATTAGAATAGAGAAATCTAACAGTGACAAACTAAAATTCTAATCAATACGTCCGTAAGCATGTTGAAGATACTATAGACGTGTTGTTTCTTCAGCTTATGCATTGCTTATTGAAAATGTATAATAAATTAGGTATTATTTATTTTTTTTATTTTTAGCATATAAATCTGGTTTTAGTTTGGTTTTAGATTCTTTCGAATAATACCATTTTAACAGTTAATTTATTTTAGTAAAGTATTATTATGATAAATATGCTAATCGCTCGATAGAGTTGTAGTTACTATTGTCTATTATTAACACTCAGGATTATTAATTTAAATTTAAAGATATTCAATAGCATAAATTAAATGTTTTTATTGATTTATTCGTTATTTTTTAAATACTTTAACTGATGAAAAAAAAAAAAATCAGAAGTGTTATATTTCGACAGTACAATAAAAATTATGTCAGTCCGCTAAATTTTTGTAGTTAAAAATGTATAACACTATAAAATGTTATACTAAAGGCTTCGAAATTAACCATAAGTTTTGCATAGGATTTTATTTGTAGAAAAAAAATAAAAACGACGGAATGCTGCTAAAATGATTTACAAGCGTCAAAAAACAAAATTTTAACTAAATCGACATTTCAATGAGTTGTTGCGGACATACATAAATGTAGGTCCTTACGACTCATAATACATGGGTGGGACCACGTAGATTAAAAATAATAGAAATCGGGAAATAATTATTATTAATATAATATTCGTATTCGTATAAAGAGAAAGGAATGATTAAGAACCGAGGGTAACACGAATATGAGCTGTCAAGACTACATTTCAAAGAATTATAAAAAAGCAATTAATAAAAGCGCATAACAAAATATGAGAGATGTTCGAATAGTAATATTACCGAGGTCAACCATTTTAATTACAATTTAACATCTCCGGGTAGTAACAGTAATTGGAAATAATGTATTACATAGAAATGCGCGGCCAATTCCCACGAGACCTATGTATATAAGGGGGTTGGGAACAGACCAATAATCAGATGAGGTTTACAGGCATAAGCGCAAGCACCTTCACGCCAGATCATTTCTTAATTAAATGTTTTTTTTGTACTTAGAAAAATTTTTAAATAAACAGTATAATTATATTTGAGTATTTTATTTGGAGTATTATCCTAACAACTTAACCATCGTTACGATTGAACGACGGCACGCAACAGAGTTTCCATCGTTTTATAGTTTCAAATTGTTTTACTTTTTTTTTTTTTTGCGAAAATATAACAATGAAATTTCAACCTGCTTTGTCAAAAAAATTTGATAATACATTTTAGATATATAAGCTAATCCATACGCATAAACTCTTTCACTCGGAATATATTTTTCTTTTTTTTTTTCCCCCCCGAGATCAATGGTGCATTGGTTTCGAGTGGTTCGAAATACCGATACAGCAACGATACGACTTTGTCACGTACGACGTATGCGTACCGTTCGATCGTAGACGTCGCGCCGACCGTACTCGGCATAAGGTTTCTTTAAATGTGAACGGAGATCGTGGTCGAAATGATTTGTATTTTACAGCAGTAAAGTTAAGGGCGGGTATGTGCCGCGTGTGTTGGACGTTGTCGATGTGTTCAACCGACGGGAAGTCATAACAACGTGTCCAGGCACAAATCGTCGTTTTTCTGGACGTTCTCTATGTCGCAGTACAACTGTTTCAGTTCGTTGAAGACTACTTCGTTGTCGCTCGCGCAACCGCCGCCGTCGCTACCACCGCTACACGTGCTGTTCGGGGCGCAACAACAGTACGCGGTCGACAGGTCGACGGAGGAGCAGCTGTCCGCGGGCGGCGGACAACACGACGGCTTCGGCTCGGGACGGCACGCCGACGGTTCTGGTGGCGACTTTGACCGGTACGGTGGCGGCGGTGGCGGTTGCCTTGGCGGCGGACAGCGCGGTGGCCGCGGCAACGGACAGCGCGGTGGCGGCGGCAACGGGCAGCGCGGTGACGGCGGGCGGCTGCAAGCGCCGTAACGGTCGCCCTTCGCCGCGGCGCAGTCCAACTCGCCCCGCAGACAGCGCACCTGCCGCTCCAGCTCGGCGATCTTCTTCGCCTTGCGGCGCACCTCGCACGCCAGCGCGTCCGTGTCCCGTTCCAACTGCCGCTCGTGACCGCTGCCGCGACCCGACCGCTCGGCCGGCGCGTCCGCGGCCGCCGCGCGTTTCGCCGTCTCCAGTAGACACTTGTAGGCGCGCGCTTGCTCCTGGACCGCGCGCGTGTCCGCCACCGTCCGGTCGGCGTCCCGCCGCAGCTCCACGATCTGCTCCTTCATGCGGCACACGCTCACCTCCTTGCCGCGGTTCTCCTTGTTCAGCCGCTGCGCCTGCGCCGCCGCCGCCCGTTTGTCCTGCTCGTTGGCGCGCCGCTGCTCCGCGGCCGACCTGTCCAGCTGAACGGTCCTCGCCTGCTCCCGGTCCGCCATCACCTTGGCCTCCGTCAGCTGCTCCGTGACGGCCCGCAGCGCCGTCCGCTTCGCTTCCAACTCGCAGCACAGCTCGCGCTTCTCGTACGCCAGCCGCTCGTCGACCGCCGCCGCTCGCGACTTCGCATCCTCCGACTCGCACAGCGTGCGTTCCAACTCCGACTCCAGCTTGCAGCACTCGTCGCACAGCCGCCGATGCTCCTCGCGCCGCTGCTCCGCCTGCGCCTGCACGCAGCGCAGTTCCTCCTCTTTGGACCGGAGGCATTTCTTCAGCCGGTCGACCGCGGCACTCAGCTCGTCCGTCGTCTCCTGAAACCCACGTGTACCGCGCGCGTGTACTCACGACCCGGATCACCGATCGCGTCTCACTGCACGCCGGGCCGCTCGAAACGCGAAGCCGAATGTGCTAGCCGAACCGCTAGCGTAGGGTTTTCGTGTCACGTTCGTCAGTGTACACGCGTGGTTGCGATCCGCTCGCGAACCGACAACGGACCTATACCGGACAACCAGCATTAGCGTTCGTACCGGTCAACTAGTAACTATTAACTACCGGTACCACTAGTCTTCCGAGGATTAGGCTGGTTTGATGAGTAATGCGACTATGTGTTATTGTTGGCCTGTTCGGAAGAAAAATAAGGCGAAATCTACGCACGTTAGCGGCAGACCGAGTTGTACAGAAAAACCAAATGGTGTTATTGGATTTAAAATCACAGCAAACAAGCAAAGGCTTGACAAGAATTTCACCGACTGATTTTGAGAATCGGACATAGAATCTCAAAGCAAGATAAATATTTTTGCTCTCCGATCTCGGCTCAATAGGGGTAGGCTTTTAATAAGAACTGACGAACCTGTCGGCGCGCCGTTCACGATAGATTCGCGTTGTGTTCGTCAAAAGAAAAAAAAAACCGACTCCCGATAAACCGACGCGAGCGGCTCTTTAGACGTTCGACACGCTGCATCGTCCGAATAACTGTCGCAAACGGTTCGGCTAGCACACGTGTACTCGGCTTAACATTTCACTACATAGATTTACAGTGCTGCTCTTTCATACCGTTCAATGTTTTTTCTCTATGTTTCCGACTCGCACGAAAGTTACGATAAATCGCGCAGAAGTAAAAAAAAAAAAAAAAAATTTAAAAATTACTCACGTCATCGGGTTGGTGTGTAATTGTGTGCTGACGATGTACGTAACGACATTACATTTAAATGTACACGTACATCACGCACACGAAACCCATACGATACGGGTCGAACCGCAAAAAAAGAAGGAAAAATAATGGTGTTCAAGTATGCTTACTTTAACATTGCACAACTGGTTTTCGATAATCTGTTTATCCTCTTCCGTTCTTTTTATCTCGCGTAAAAGCGAATTTTCCTTCTCTTTCAGTGTGCAAATCTGTCTGGTCATACGCTCGTTGATATCTATAAATTTACTGTTGGTCGATCGCAACACAGCCTCTTCTCCTTCGATTTTTTTTTAGTTTTCTCGTTTGCACGTCGATCATATTCTTTTGATGCGCGTTCGCTCGTTGCAATTTGTTTTCGAGATCTTCCATGCACTGCTGTCGATTACTCAATCTGATTTGCAGATCAGCTCTTTCGTCCACATCATCGTTGTAGGTCAGCAGTTTTTCTTGGAGTCCGCATACTTGTTGGTTTGCGCAGAACAATTGATTTTTAATATCACTTGTTACTTTGTCGAGTGACATCTAGAAAACCCGAAGGAAATTGATTTATGTCCAACACAATATTTTTGCAACAACTTACATCAGACGGATAAAACGGAATTTGTATTTTGAAAGAAAAAAAATCATTTACCTAATCGCTTTATTTGTTTTTTAAAGTTCGATGTTTTTCTTGGTTATGGTACGATTGAATAATATGCGAGCCAGTTAATTTAATGTTTTTGCTTGATAACTCGACGGCATATATTCTTTCATTTTTGTTCAGCGATAACCAGTAGCGGCTTGTAGTAAATATTCTGGGGAGACTTAAATTATTTAACATAGACTCCATACAACAACGAACAAGAAAAAACGCTTTTATCGGAACATTAATTACATAATTTAATATTTAGTTAATATTTTTAACTTAATTTAATTTTTTTATAAAGTAATTCAATTGTACGATTTCTTTTATCTGCGAATTCGCAGATAAATTCGCAGATGTACAGAGACTAACGGATGGGGCATGATGGCACATAAATTATTGTCATGAACCCATTTTCAATAGCGTCTATAATACACGGATTATTCTCCCCGGCTCCCTTCGTCCAATAAGCCAACCCATTACATATTCGGACGGAACCTGTTGGATGCCGTGGCGAATGCTGACCCTGATGTATGGACATGCTCATTTATCATAATGTTTTATATTTATATTTAATTTATAATTATTAAACAATACACAAATTTGTATTAATTTATTAATAAGACTATAATTTAATAAATATACAATAGCACTTACTTAAATAATATTTAACTAACTAAATAATATTAAAAAATAGCACAGTAAAAAAAAAAAAAACGAAGAAAAATTTTCATATACTCGTACACGTAAATTTTATAAATTACGACATTGACGAAGCGCAATAGAATGAGCATGTCTTGGGCAGTGCTCGAATTGGGAAAAATTAAGTAGAGGAGCTCAGTCCAACGATTTAAAAACTGCGTTCCACGTGCGCAATTATTTGACACTGACCAGTGGGGGGGCTTCTTCCCTCTTCCTCCCCACCACCAACCTTAGATATATTTTGAATACCACTTTTCAGCTAAACAAATATTTAAATTCCAAATATAATATATTTTGATAGAAATACCAACATCCTATATGTTACAATAGAAAATAAAAATAAAATAATAATCAATATAGGTAATTGTAGTCGATCAGGTAGTCTCATGAATCGAATGATGTAATCATATATTTTGTTTTTGTTTTTATCTTTTTTTACTCTTTAATGCGGGCCACAACCTTAAAAGATTAATCTAAGGTCGTGGTGAGAGCATTTATTTTTTTCCGAAATGACGATATCGTCGATCGCCAATACTAATAACAAACCGTACAATGTATAAAATATAATACACCAAATTCACAGACATTACTATTTATATTTTTCCAGAAATGATGTCCTTTATCATAACCACCATATAATCTTTAATTATAAAAATAGTTTTGATATTATAAATCGTAAAATTCATTTTCCAACTGACGTAAATTGAAATTCACATAAAAATTATTTTGGACATCAATTAGGATGAATATGGCATCCCCTCGTTCCGGTGAAAAAATATAGTTGGAGTACGCAAAAAAAAAAAATTGTAAAGATGCTCCGTCCCCCTGCGCACCCCCTCAATTCGAGCACTGATCCTGGGTAATAAATACCGCGGCTGCTAGTAGAGGTGGTCTCGAAATAACTGATATTTTACAGCGGTAACAAGGGTCATATAGCTTGCGCACACATTTATCGTATGCACTGTCATTAAATGTTACAAAGTATAGCAGAATTAAATTACATTATTGTAATACATTATGTTCTTTTAAAATACGTAATATATTATTGATTACAAAATAATTTTTGTATTTTGATTAATAACGTTTTTATTCCTAAGCATACCTGGATAATTCGCCACTGATTGGACGTCAGTTTCACTGAAACGGCCACCGTCGTCGAAATTCCACTAAAATAGTGTTCTCATCGAAATAACTATTTATAGGTTTTATATTTTGTGGTCTTAAACTTATAAATAATAAGTATAGAAAACGCAATAACATATTTTCAATTAAAAATATTTCTATACATTTTTAAATAGTAATTATTTACGAGTAGCTGTTTTTTTTTTTTACGGGGAGACGCAGTCTTAAATTTTTCCCTGAGGAGCCGCCCCTGGCGATAACGCAATTATCTTTTCATTCGCCGAAAACCACCTCGTTTTTACCGATTACATTCCTACTCCTGCGGACGCTGCGCATCGCATCTATCAAACGGCATACACGTCGACGATTCCGACGTGTAATGCTCGTGCACTTCGCTACAATTCACTATCGTTACACGGCGTAACTTAATATATTGATTATCAGTTATTATTGGTAACATTTCTTGTTGGAAAATCAACAATTACTCGTGTTACTGTTGAAAAGGTAAAAAGCGTATATGTGATGTTGAATCGCTGTAACGTCGTTAGGAACGTACGTGGATGGGCGGTACGGTGACCGGTTCGTGAACAATAATCGTAGCCCTCGAAAACAGACAGGTAAGGCACCGTGGTAAGTGTACACAAGTTTTCAAATCAAACATAACATCTTTTTTCCCGTCGTTATTATTTACTTTGCGCGAGCAAAAACATGTAACACCATGTCCGCGTCGTTGCCTACAGCGTGGTTATCATTTGTTCAAGTGACGATAGCTGTTTACCGATGAAGCTAGTGTTTGTTTAGTAACAACCGAACAATCTGATTCTCCGTTCTGATTGACGGTATTGCACGTCGAGTGTATTTTAATTTCATAGATAGGTGCTTATGGGTCGATCGAAAAAAATTAAAAAAAAAAAAACATTTGTGTGTAATAATTAAATTGTTATTACTCGAGAACGTAACATACATTTTCTGAACATTATTTAAAAACGAAATCGAAAATGCTCTTTCCTGGATTGTAAAACATCAACGATAACAGTACTAAACACGATTTTAACATTTGTGCGATTTAATCGTAATAAACACTATTATTTAAAAAAAAAAAAAAATTAAAACACGCCTATATTTAACAAACGTTGTGAAATATAATTATTGTAAACTCTGCCCTGTTGCATCGATGGTTATTGTTATAACTTTTTTATTTTTTTTTTTTTTTCACTTGACGTTCGAATACATTACATTCGGGTTTAGAAAATGAAAAAAACGTTTAAACCGTATTGTATTTATTACCAAGTGGCTCCGCGCAGGGTAGTTAACTAACAAAGCAATAAGTTCCCGAATATAAATAAAAAAAAAAAAATGTACGTAAACAATGGTTAAAGATTTCGAACACGGATAATAATCAAATAATATTATAATATATATGATATAAATAATAATAATAATCAATGATCAGTAATCGCGTAAACGGACGAGATAGCGTTGACGAAACGAAACGGAATAGTTAAAAGCGTCGAAACAAATGATTTCCGCTACGCGCCGTTTCTCGACATCGTGTAACGGACGATGGGCTGCGGACCGTTGACCGGGTTCGGCTCGAGGTACATGGGCCGCTGCTGCTGCTGCTGCTGCTGCTGCTGTTGCTGTTGCTGTTGCTGCTGGGGCTGCTGTTGCTGCTGGGGCTGCTGTTGCTGCTGG